TCTGCAAGTTAGATAATTAATGTGTACGGGATAGCTTAACTATCCGTTTGTTGAATTTTCCTATATGAAATTCAGATAGTGATGATTCAAGTGTATTTCGATAAATATTTGATGATAGTTCAGATAGAAAATTCACATATATACATGCTGGTTCAGGTAGAAAACTTAAAAAATGAAGGTCGTTTGGTAGAATGTATAAAAATAATGTTCAATAAAGTGTATTAGTAACACGTGCATTAGTTATAATTGTGTCTCTCACAAATTTATAGGCGAATATCAAATTAGTCCACTCCTATAATGTTTGGTGCTGAATTGGCCCTTAAATTAAAATGTGGTTCGATCATCAAATTACTTTGTATTATAGGGCAGGGGTCCATAATAGTGATTGTTGTGGTTTTGCAAAATTGTTTTCTACAAAATGTGTGACACTCCACAAATTGATTTTTATAAAATAAAGTTACATGATACCAAAAATAATTCAAGATTCGGATATTTTAGAATCTGAAAAAGAAGGAATGAAAGAGAAACTTACATTAATCAACTAAGAAAAGAATATTTGGATAATATTTTATTGATATTAAAAAAAAATATTTAAATTTGAAGTCAAAGTTAAAACTCAATACTCCCTCCCTTTTATATTAATTTTTCCCTATTGATATGATACATTCCTAAACTGATCTTATTAGCCATATTTTAGAACTTTTAATTTGACTTTTTACTACTTTCTGTTATTATTTAATATTAATGTATTGTTGAATTTGAGGATATATAAAATAAATAAATAAATAAGAGATAATAATTTTAAGATATAGTAAATAAAATGAAATTCTACACGTAAGACATTTATGCTTCGCAATTATGTAAAGTTTTCAAGATTTCACTATTCAGTTGTTCTTTTTTCCCCAAAATTCTTATATACTTATTCTCTACTGTACAAAAATCTGCATCTTCAATTATTTTATATAGAGAAAAAATCTTTGTTTGGTACTTTGCCTTTCTCTTCAATGGAAAAAAGTAGTAAGAAGACGCAAGTGGGTTCTGCTGATGTTTCTGCTTCCACCGGTATTTTCTCTTCAATTTTCCCACCACCATCTAAGGTACTTATTCATTATATGAACGACATTAGAGTAGTATATATGATTTGACTTAATACTAAAGTTTATAATGGAATAAGAATTTGGGAATTTGGAATTTGTTATATGTCTAACTGAAAATAGAATTTGAAATAAGATGCAATTTGCTAATTGAAGTAGTTTATGAAGAACATGGAGGAGTGGAGAGATATGGGTTTGCACTAATCAGTATATGTCAAATCTATCAGTTTCTGTGAACTCCAGAAACTCTGTTATCTAATTTCTGTGATAGAATTGTATTAACCTGTGAATGAAAACTTGACTGTTGGTGGTCGACGAATAGGATTTTAGTTGTGGGTATGGGTAACAGTTGAAGTGGTGTGTTTTATGCTCTTTCTTTATCCTCAAGTCATTAAGGTAGCATGTTAGAGGTGGTTTATGGGGATCTTATGTTTTCTACTCCCATTTGTGCCATTACTTTCTCCTTGTGGAATAGTTGATGTGTGTGCTTGTGGCAGAGTTAATTGGTACTTGCGTTGGTGGAAGATAGCACGTACCTTGTGGAATAGTTGATGTGGGTGCAAATTTTGTGATCAATTCAAGTAGTTAAGGGGATTTATAATCAAAGTTTTCTCTTTCCCAAGAGAAGATAAGGAGGGATTCATTTTTTTTCTTTCATGTGAATGTCCCTTTCGATATTCTTGTAGTTGAGGGATTGCAATTTCATAGCATTGGATTGATCTCTTCCCATGGAGGAGAGGTAAAAAGTTTCTTACCTTTTCTTTGTTGGTAGGGTTTGGTAAGTAAAGCAGAGTCAACTTGAATTCCTAACCAAAATCTGACAATCCTTTAACTCATGTAAACACCAGAAACTCTGTTTCTTAATTTCTATGATTCTGTCAGCTGAAAAAATTATTTTTGGTGGTCAACTAGGAAATTAATTGTATTAGTTTGAAATAGCGTAGCATCGATCTGCTTGTGTTTTCCTTTTCGAAAATAAAGTAAAAAAACTATTGTACTATCTCATCTTCCATATTCCTGTAGGTTATGGGAAGGAAAGCTTCGGCAGCTGAACTCATACAATCTCTGGAGAAGCAGTCATCTGGTTGTAGGGCATGGAACAAATCAGCTACAGGTGTCTTGTCACTTGTGATCTCTCTCTTTTCCTCATTCTCATTCGTCCTCTCTTTGTTTCACCTCATTAAATTTATGTGTTATTCTCCAATCTATCTTAACACCTGACTCTTGGAGAATCATTGCGGTGCTTCACGTACTTGATTCTACCGACATAAGATAAACCTATTACTTACAAGAGATTCTCGGACACCTCTTTCCATTCCCCTTCCAATCAATTGGTCACACTTGATCACGTATTTCTTGTGGTATAAATCCAAACCAAGCCTTTACTCTGTAACTTGTACTACGAGTGATGAATAGGGAATAGATGAAAGATGTATGATTCCGTGTAATTATGATAAGGTTTTTTTATACACTACAATCAGTTTCTTTTCTCAGTTTTATAATCATGAACAATTGCTTTCAATCCTAGGTTCTAACTTGTGGTAACTTGATGCTTTTGCTTGTATATTCTGCATTCACACTGAGATAGCAATACTTTTATTGTGAGATATATGATAAAGTAGTGTCTAAAACATACATCCTTGAGCAGCTTACGTGACGAAAAATAAACAAGGTGCAGGGCATTGCAGATCCAGTAAGGAACATGAATCACTTTTTCAAGATAGAGGGGAAACATGTCCCCTAAGTTCTTCTCTCTTATATGGTGGTCAAGAGGACATGTATATCAAGTCATCCGATGCTCATAAAACTCTATCATATCCTTCTGTGAGTTCTTTTTCTTAAAATCATCTTCATAATTTAAAATATGCAATGTGATGATACTTACTCCTTTTGATGTACTTATAAACATTTCAGTACAAGAAGGAAGGAGGAGAATACGATTCTAGTGGAAACAACCAATACAGTGCATCTAGAGGAAATTGGTGGCAAGGTATGTATGTTGTAATTATATTGCAATGGTTGCAAGTACTCATCAGTGGAAGCTAAGTTTTGCAAATTCTTGTATTCAGGGTCACTTTATTACTAGAAACATGGCCTCCGATCCCCCAAGACGTGAATTCCCATTTATTTAGTAGAGGTAAGTTAGTGAAGGACATCAAAAATTATTCCATTGATCAAATATGCGTCTCTGATGTCAGAACCTTTTATCTTGAAATATTCTAATTTAATTTTAATTTTAATGCAAATTCTGAACTTGTTATCTCAGTTTTTTCTTATGTTGAGGACCTTTTGTTTAGCAGCACAGTTTACGGTGATGGTTGTCTACTTCCATATTGCTTACTCTTTTACCCACAAAATTGTAACAGATTCATGCTGAAACTTGCTCTTTTTTAAAGGGGTGGGAGCATTTTCATAAAGAATGAAATACGTCTTTTCCAAAAATGTATCTTGTTTAGCTAAGATGTTGTGCAAGTTTATGATGTTGATCATACAGTACATATATTCTTATTTTTACTTCTTCCAGTAACACCGTGATGTTAGTTTGCTGCACTACAAATGATTTTTCGTTTCATAATTTCTTGATTAATTTGCAGGAGTTCTGGAAGTCTTGGAACCAGGTTGCTATAGATTTGTTGAAGACGGCCATGTGTTGACAGACTCACAACTTTTTACTCTGGGATCTCTTGATGGTTATTTGAACCTTATATGACATGGACCTTTTTAATCCTTTTAGCTCTGTGCCTTACAAAGCAGGGACTTTGGGAACTACATCTTTATACTCCTTTAAACTCTTCGTATGCAATTAAACGATGTAAATTTCTGAATAAGTTCTTGTCAAGACTTGCATGAAACTAGTTCTTTGGAAATCTACTGTGCAATGAACTTTCTGAATAAGATTGATGCTTGACAGAACATTATGTATGCTTTTGATGGCTTGAAATTCTATTTTTTATACATACATTAGGATTGAAGAAGATTGTGTCAATCAAACTGCAGTTTGTATCTTCAATCATCATGGTCTTTTTCAATTGTTCTCCATACCTGTTCAACAATTTATTATGCTAGTTACTACTACCACAGGAACAACCCAAAGCGGCAAAGAACAACTGGGGCTGCTGCAGTCTAAGTATAGTAGTAAGCCCATAGGGTTAATGTTGTTGTACACGACCACATAAGAAAAGAATTAACAAAGCAATGTTTCCAGTTTTTGGTCTCAACAAATAGAAATAAGAAAAAACAAAAGGGACATTTTCAAACAGGCTTTCTGCTACATAATTTTCCTGCTATGCTGTCACATAAGTCTTTCTTAAGCACTGGTACAGTGGGCACAAACATATTACCTCATCTCTTTGCTGACAACAATAGACCTGTAATACTCCTTGAGCTTTTAGAGTTGGGTACGTCTACCTATCCCAAAAGATGAATTCTTTATGAAAATGTGTTGTAGAGCTTCAAATATTAGAGGTTGGTCCTTACCTTTAGGCTTTAACCAACCTCCCAAGTAACCCTGGAATGATCCTTGAATACTAAATCAGAACCTAAACTCCTTGCCTTTTGATTACATTCGAGCAAAATCTTGGAAGAACTTTACAATCTTGATCTTTTGCCATGAAAGTTAAAAAATTGGAGCTCAATCACCTGAATTTTTTTCTCAAGAACCAAAAACCAAGCACTACCTCAAAAGATGGTGGTCAAATTTGAAAGCTTACAAACTGCCTTGATCCTATATGAATACAGTACTTTATTGGACTTGTCCATTCAAGGCAAGGTAATAAGAATTTGGAAATGATTGAGCTACAAAATATAAAAGCAACAGAATTGGCAATGAAAACTTTCTTTTCTGAAGAAATAATACCTTCTCCAAAGAGGAAAGAAAATCCATTTAGTGATAAATATTCAACCAAATAAAGGCATGCAAAACTATAGATATATATATATATATAAAGTACAGATCCAGCAGGTAATATCAACTGGTTTAATGGCACCTGACTTGCACCATTTAGGACAATTCGAAGTCCCAACCTAGAGCTGAAAAAAGGTCACAAATTCCAGATTCAAGAATATGCAACCCAAGGTTGATCCAACTGCAAATTAGCAAAATCCCAGCTTGCAGGATCTTTGTGTTAATATGGCAGGCAAAACATAATCACTACCATTGCTGCTTTTATCCTTTATGTCTACTATCCTGTTTCTGGTGAAACTCAAGTACACAGGAAAAGAAGAATGCTGAAAGATGAAGTGTGTTGAAGTTCACAAGATCCATAGATACTGTTGGACCGCCAATGCAGAGCTTTGTTGCAGCACTTGGGTTGGTGGGAATTTAAGGGCAGGCCGAGATAGAGTGCCATGGTAAAGAGCGAGTTCATACTACTATGTCATCTAAAGCTGATACGTGGATGCTGGTTGAGCTCAATTTTGCACTTCTACCACCACTCTTTAGCAGGGAATGAAGGCCAGGACTTATTATCATCTTTCTTCTAGTTTTTAATCATGTAAAATGTGATAAACCGAAAACTGAAGACCCCATTTCATTTCAGAGGCAATTTACTGAAAACTTGTGACTTTGCAAACTGAAGGACAGTGAGAAGATAACAACACTTTGCCAGTATAATGGCTTGGTGGCAGTTCCATTGATAATGACCTAGGAAGCATGATAATGGAGGCATGTGGGGATCTCCAATATTCCTCTGAATAGGAAATGTTGAGGATTGATTGTACCACAACATCAACCCGTGATCATGGAATACTTTTTGGATCACACAGCAATAAGAATCCGACAAGCATAATTCACAAACAATCAACAAATTCTATTTTGTTTCATTCTTACCAGGATCAGATTGATGTGTGGTGGCCATCTCACTCAAAATGTAGTCTTCATCATTCAATGAGATCGATTAGGATAGCTAGTTATGGCAGCGTGATATCTCCTTCATCTTTGACAGGTTCAAACTTGTTAAATTGTTGGATTTGGAATCCTTCAACATTGATGGTACTTCTCGCAGTGAAATACAATCTCTAATTCATATAAGGTACTTTGCTGATCGAACTAATGCTAGTTCAACTCCCTCCTTTATAGCTAAGCTTTGGAATCTTGAACCTTTTGGGATAACAGGGCTTAAGTGGAGAAGTGATATTACCTACTCCCCTTCAAGATTCCAAAGGTTAACCATAATGGAAGCAGTTGAATCATTAGTTTGAGCAACAAAGTAACTTAAATGGATTATTAGAGATCGTATTACATTGGGATAAGTGCCGCAATGTTAAAGGATTTCAAATCATCATTTTAACAAGTCTTTAACTATCAAAGACGTCAGAGATATCAAGCCACCATGACAAGTCATCCAAATCAATCTTTGTGCCTTGCAAGTGAACCATAATAATGCAAAATACAAGCTATATGGCAATTTGATCAAATATAATCAAACCGAATACGGGTTCCACCTGCTGATGTTTATGTGGAACCTCATTAACAGGTTGAATAGCCAGCCTCATATACAGGGAAAATTATAAGGAGTACAAAGCTTACACTACACAAAGCTATTCGCAAAGCAATGTCTCTCGTGTTGCATTACCAGTAACTGTATTCACTCCATCAGCAAATTTGCAAAGGTATTCCCGTTGATCTTCTCTTAGAGGAACATCGGTGAAATCTGCTCCTTGTATAACGGAACCCTTGAAAGATGTATTCCCCGTTGTAAGTGCTCCTTCCAAATTAGCATTGCTTAAATTCACCTTAGTCACATTAGCTAAGGAGAAATCAGCACCTCTAAGATCCGCATCAGATAGATCAGCACCAGTTAAATCGGCATCAAAGAAGCTAGCTCCGAGTAACTTCGCACCTTTAAAATTAGCTTGTCTGAGTATTGAAGTTTTAAAATCTTGTTTGATTAACGTTTTCCCACTAAAATCCTTCCCTGTTAGATCTTGGCCCCTTGTTACTCCAGCACCGTAAGGGCCTCCGCCTTTAAAGGCTAAAGCAGGATCTGAAGCAAAGAAGAGTGAAGCAGAGAGAAGGGCCAGAAAACTTGCTCTTGAGATTGATTCGCTTAATGATATGAAACCATTTCTCGAAGATTCAGCTGATTTTAGAGAAACCTGTGATGTAGCTTGATGAGTTTGTGGGGAAAGATGGAGATTGTGAAGTTTTGGATTTGAGGGGAGTTTTGAACAACAGAAGCAGAAGCTGAGAATCGCCATTTCTGGGATGAGTGGCTATCAATGGTGAGATTTTTGTAGGGCATTTTGTTTGTGATAATCTTCAAAAAGAGGAGATAAGAGAGAGTTTGTAAAACAAAAATCTAACACCGCTGCCGGGGATCGAACCCGGGTCACCCGCGTGACAGGCGGGAATACTTACCACTATACTACAACGACTTGTTGTTCACTTACTGAAATATTATATTATTTAATAAAACAATCACACTGTACCATATACAATTTTTTGGAATTTAAACACAACAAAACAATCCAATATGTTCATTTTTTAAATCAAAACCTTTCCACCAATTAGTTGGCTGTGGTATCTGCATTGGATTTCAATTATACATTGCAGATTTCCTCTTTGTTTGCCTATTGAAGAAAGAAAGTCTTATATGACTTCAAACAAGGGAGAAAGGCCCTTCGATTAATTCGTCTGAGGTTATCAACAATTTTATTTTGTCTAAATTACTTTTTTTTTTTTTTTGTCCAAGTCACTTATTTTTAATCTATTAAAATACTTTTTTTGTGTCGAGGATCTATCAAAAATAATCTCCTTACTTGTTGATAAAATTTACAGTTTTGCACATACTCTATCCTCTTCACACCTTAATATGAGATCACGATAACTCACGATGATTAGTCGGGACAAAATCCCAACATACCCAGCCAATAATATACATATATAGTTGACCCATAAATTATTCATCTTTCAAGTAAGCTAGTAAGGATAAAAACGTATCCATATTCCACGCTTATATAAATCAATAAACGAATGACGACATGGGTTTCGATTACTTACTAGTCACTTATTTTTAAAATTGACTTTTATTTTTATTTTTCACTTTTAAAATATCAAGAAAAGACAAAAAATAATTTCATATTTTACCCTTAGCATTAAATACTTATTTTCCAAATCATTTTTCAAGACCTTATCTAAACATCAATTAATAGGGATAGTTTGATAATTAATATATATATATATATAATAAGTGGGAATATCTACACTACTTAGCACATGACAAGTGTTGGATGATATGTGTTTCATAGTGTTGTACATTCTTCTTTTATGGTTGTACCTTTAAAATTTATATTATTGGACAATTTAACACCATTAATTACGTACCTACTACTTTATTAGCCAAAAAGTTTGACATCATTTGGGCCCATTTATTATTTATATGTTTTCAATTTTCAATATATGTTGTTTATCTAATTCCTTTTTTCAACCTTTTATTTTAAACTTCTTGAAAATTTAATTACCTATTTATTACTCTCTCTATGCACTTTTAATTGTTATGATTTCTTTTTTAGAGTCAAACTATAAGGAATTTTTAACTAATATTTTTACAATGTGTTTTTTCATCATATTCATAGGCAAAAAATAACAATTTATATTACTTTTTGTATAGATTTTGCATATTTAAATTATTATTTTTAAATATCGAATTAATACAATCTGATTTAACTATGAAAATTAGTCAAATAGACTTTCAAAAAGTGCAACATGACAAATACAAGTGGACGGAGAGAGTATATTTTAGCTACAAAATATATTAGAGGTACAACTTTTAAAAAAATTTAAATTGTTATTGCGTTGACTCTTGAAGTCTTATCATTGTCATATGAATTTGAACAAATTATATATTATTAAAAGTTACATAAAAGATGCTATAAATCACAATAATTAGCAATTAAAAATATTTTTAAATCATATAAGAAATTTGGTTGACTAATTGGAATAGAATAAATAACATGTACTATTTGAAAATAACGTCAAAATTTCTAGAATTCACAATAAATTAACAACTGGAAATATTTTACTATATATAATAAGTGGGAATATCTACTACTTAGCACATGACAAGTGTTGGATGATATGTGATTCATAGTGTTGTACATTCTTCTTTTTGGTGCTGGCACGGGTACCAAATATCTATATATATGTGTCACAAATGGAAAAGACTCAATCAAGGAAGCAACT